TTTTTTTACTGAGATAAAATTCACATAACATAAAACTCGCCATTTTAAAGTATGCAATTCAGTGGCTTTTAGTACATTAACAATATTGTGCAATTATCACCACTAATTCCAGAACATTTCCATGACCTCAAAAAGAACCCCCGTACCCATTAGCAGTCACTTTCTTTTTTTCTTTTTTTTTTTTTTTTTGAGACAGAGTCTCTCTCTCTGTTGCCCTGAGTAGAGTGCCGTGGCGTCAGCCTAACTTACAGCAAACTCAAACTCCTGGGCTCAATCAATCCTCCTGCCTCAGCCTCCCAAGTAGCTGGGACTACAGGTGCGAAACACAATGCCAGGCTAATTTTTCTATTTTCAGTAGAGACAGGGTCTCGCTCTTGCTCAGACTGGTCTTGAACTCCTGACCTCAAGCAATCCTCCCACCTTAGCCTCCCAGAGTGCTAGGATTACAGTTGTGAGCCACCACACCCAGCTAAGCAGTCACTTTCTAATTCTCCCCTTCTCTCAGCCCCTGGCAACCACTAACCTGATATCTGTCTCTATGTATTTGCCTATCCTGCACATTTCATGATGTGGCATGTGTTAAAATTTCCTTCTTTTTTAAGGCTGAATAATATCCCATTGCATGGATACACCACATTTTTTTTTATCCATTTTCAGTTGATAGACGCTTGGGTTGCTTCCACCTCTTGGCTACTATGAATAATGCTACCATGAACACGAGTGTACAAATAGCTCTTCAAGTCCCTGCTTCCAGTTCTTTGGGGTGTACACCAAAAGTAGGATGCCTTCCACCTTTATATTATGGTTCTCTTTCTCCTCCTCTCTCTTTACATTTCCATATTTCTACAGGTTCTGCCACTGGAAAATAAGATGGAGGATGCCCGCCACTTCCCAGTCATCCTGCCTTTGGGATTGTCCATCGTCATTGCCCTGTACACCAGCATTGGGGCTCTGGGCTACCTGCGATTTGGAGACGACATCAAGGCCAGCATAACCCTTAACCTGCCCAACTGCTGGTACCTCCATGGGCCCTCAGGGGTGGGAACTCAGGGATGAGTGGAACATGTAGATCACTTCCTTCCCTTCCACAGCTGGGAATCCGATGTCTAGAGAGCTTCCCACAAGGAGAATCAGAGTTGTCATTGGAACCGTGGTCTCCAGATTCTCTGTCCAGGGAGCTCCTCCTTCAATAACAGCCTCCCAAATTGAGTTAGGCCTTGACATCTGAGTGTGAAGAGGACACGATTTAAGGAGAGAGGGCAGAAGTGAGAGTCAGTCGTCACCTAAGAGAAGGGAGGGGCACTGGGAGAGGGCAAGAGGCAGAGCACTCAGGGGCGGCCACACTTCCAGTTACATTTACTAAGGCTTGTCACCAAGTCTTGCATGCCATAGCCAATGGTGTATATCCTCCAAGTCAGAGTAGCCAGGATAAAAAAGTGTGAAACACTCCGGGAGGCTGAGGCGGGACTATCACTCGAGGTCGGGAGTTTGAGACCAGCCTGAGTAAGAGCAAGACCCCGTCTCTACTAAAAAAGTAGAAATAAATTAGCTGGACAACTAAAAATATATAGACAAAATTAGCCAGGCATAGTGGTGCATTCCTGTAGTCCCAACTACTCGGGAGGCTGAGACAGGAGGATTGCTTAAGCCCAGAAGTTTGAGGTTGCTGTGAGCTAGGCTGATGCCACGGCACTCTAGCCTGGGCAACAGAGCAAGACTCTGTTTCCAAAAAAAGAGAAAAGAAAAAGAAAAAGTGTGAAACAAAATTCAATTTTGGAAGACCATTGGAATCTGTAAAAATTATACGTTTCAATATACTCAATTAATGCAACAGCTGCCACAGACTTCAACATGCCTTATTTAAACAGACACATGAACCCACATTGCATCATGCAGCATTTGCTCCCATAGTGGGCGTGTCATTCCTGACAGGATGCCTCTGTCTTTTTTAAGCAGTCACTTGGAGGCCTAATTTGCCCTTTCTCTCCCAAGATGATAAATGCCATTCATCAAAAATTTTACTGCAGGCCAATTATAAGCACATGCCAGTTTAGACCCAGGCAGGTGTGCATGGTGCTGGCGCGAATAGCCTATTTGGACCTTCACTACCTCCACCAGCTCGTGATCCAGTGGGAATGCGGGAGGGATAGACAGTGTATGTACACAAGCTGTAACACAGAGCAGAAGAAGAGGCCTTAGGGATTTCCGAGGAAAGAAGCACATCAGAAGGAGACAACAGGGAAACTCGTGGTCCAACAAGACAACTCCATCCAAACAAGAACAGCTATGGTACACCTGGGTTCAAGTCCCAGCTGCGCCACCTGCTAGCTTATGGTTGCAGATGGTTCGCTTCACCTCTCTCGGCCTCCTTTTCCCCATTTATAAAGCAGAGTTGCGGGGATTAAGTTGAGCAATGTCTAAAAGCATCTGGCATGTAGTACCTGCTCAAAAAGAGGGGAACTTAAAAAAAAAATTGATAGGGTTTGGACAGATGGAAATGGAATAAGGAAGACATTCCCAGCAGCGAGATTAGTACAAGCAAGAAACACAGAAATGTGGAAGTTAGCCTTTTTTAAGAAATGAGCTAAACCCACACGCGCACACACACTTATTAAACATGGCAGATGCATCTACCACATTAGTGGATTAAAGAAAACTGGTTGTATCTTGATAGGTCAAAGAAAACTCTGATGGAACTCAACATCCGCTGAAACCTCACACACTCCCTGCCCCTAGTTTGAGGCCTGCAAGTGACCTTGTCTCTTCTTTTATTCCACCCCTGACCACCACCCCCAACCTCCACACAATCCTATTTATAAACTGTTGTCTGCCCCCAAGGATCTGGGGTTCTGCAGTTCTCTCGACCAACTAGAAGCATCTGTTGAAGGCCTGTTATGTACCAAGAGCTTTGGGGAATCCAGAGAATTCTTAAGGACTGACAGAGATCACAAAGGACTGGGTCTTTTAGATCCAGGGTTTGTGGTCTTAGCCACTCATCATCCATGTCTGACTAGGCAAAGTATCTGACCTGAGCCCCTCTTTCCTAAAATCTGAAATTGAGCACTGGATGACAGTAGCTTACGAAGGTGCTGTATACACCCATGCTCAAGATCCTTTTCATTTCATCAGAGGTGACCATTCCAACTATTTCCATTGAATCCATAATGCTTCACTCTGTTTTTACTGCATGCTGTGGTGTGACTCTCTCTTGGCTCTTAGAAGGTCCCTTTCCATCATTTTCAGATGGGGAAACAGAGGCCCGAGGGACTGTGCCAAGGTCAGAGGCTGATGTTCCCAGGAGCCCAGTGTCAGAGCACAGTGGCCCTGGAGAGCAGTGCTCTGGTTTTTCTTGCAGGCTGTACCAGTCCGTCAACCTCCTCTACATCATCGGCATCCTGTGCACCTATGCCCTGCAGTTCTACGTCGCTGCAGAGATCATAGTCCCCGTCGCTGTCTCCCAGGTGCCAAAGCGCTGGGCATTGCCTCTGGACCTGTCCATCCGCCTCATCCTGTCCTGCCTGACATGTGAGTCAAAGGCAGAGCACAATGTTCCTGCTGATCTTTCCCTGGGGGTTGTCAGGAATCAGCCAGATGGCAGAGGATAATCATGACAACTAGCGTTTACTGAGCACTTAATGTATTTCAGGGGCCATTCTAAAGCTTCACAAGAATTAACTCATTGAAGCCTTAGGGACAGCTCCATTCCTACACGTACTTAATTAGACAGATTTATTTGTGTCCAGCCTGAGGGAATGACACAGCTTATGGAACAATAATCATAACAGGAACTGACATGTATTGAATACCGTGTGCCAGGCACTGTACTAAGCTCTTTCCAGTCCATATAGCATAGTATTTTATTCCGTCATCATGAGAATTCTCCGGAGCTGGGACTATGATAAACCCTACTTTACCAAAGAGGAAACTAAGGCAGTGAGTGATAAATAATTGGTCAGGAAGTGTCAGTGGTGGATGTGAACCCAAGTCATCTACGTCCAGAGCCCGTGTCCTTCACCTCCAGGAGAGGCATTGGAAATGGGCAGCCAGGCTGGCGCGGTGGCTCATGTCTGTAATCCCGGCACTCTGGGAGGCCAAGGGGGAGGATCGCTTGAGGCCATGAGTTCAAGACCACCCTGGGCAACATGGCAAGGCCCCATCTCTATAAAAAAAAAAAAAAAAAAAAAGGAATGAAAGAAAAGAAAATGGGCAACCAGTGAGTCTAATATGGCAACAGGTATTGTTTGACCCTCACAATGTTGTATACATTTGGGCCAACGTTAAAAATATGGGCAATCTCACATACAAATCCAGATTTTTATTTTGAGAGTAGAGGAAATGAAATGATTTGACAAGCCTAGGGTCACATTCTCCATTAGCAACAATCAGCAGGAGCTCCTTGCCCCTGGATGGTCTTGTGCTCACCTGGGGCCTAGGCCGACCCCACTCACCCCCTCACAGCCCTCCCCTGTGCCCAGACCCCATGATCGGGAGTGCCCCTGCCTGCAGTATTTCACCAGACGCCAAAGGGGATGTTAGAGATTCCTACATTAAAGCGTGAAGTGGCCCAGCTCTCCCTACAGCTCCCTTTGTCACTGCTAAAGTTTCCTCTTTTTTCAAGGCTGAATAGTATTCTATTGTATGCATAAACCACATTTTCTTTATCCATTCATCTGTCCATGGACATTTAGGAGAATTTTTTTTGTATTTTTTTGGTATGACAAAGTCTTTACTTT